CCCCCCCAAAATTTTCCAAAAAATTTCCAAATTTTTTCCCCAAATTTTTAAAAAAAAATTTTTTTTTTTAAAAAATTTTTTGGGGGAAAAATTTTTTTTTTAACTTTTAAAACCCCTTTAAAAAATTTTTTTTTTTAAAAACTTTTTTTTTCCCCCTTTAAAAATTTTTTTTTATTTTTTTTTTTTTTTTTTAAAAAAAAAAAATTTTTTTTTAAAAAAAAATTTTTTTCCCCCCCAAAAAAATTTTTTTTTTTTAAGGGGGGGTTAGGGGGTTTTCCCCTTTTTTTTTTTGGGGGGCCCCCCAAATTTCCTTTTAAAAACCCAAAAAAAAAAAAAAAAAAAAAAAATTTTTTTTTTTTTTAAAAACCTTTGGTATTTTTTAAAATTTTGCCCCAAAACCCTTTTATTTTTAATTTTTGGGGTCCCAAAACCCCACCCAAAAAATTTTTTTTTTTTTTCCCCCCCCCTTTAAAATTTTGGAAATTTAAAACCCATTTTTTTTTAAAAAAAACCCCCCTTTCCTTTTTAAAAAAATTTTAAAATTGGTTATTTTGGGCCCCAAAAAAAAAAAAAAAATTTCCTTTTTTTTTTTTTTTTTAAAAATTTTAAATTTTTTTAAAAAAATTTTTTTTTTTTAAATAAAAATTTTTTTGGGTTCCCCTTTTCCCCCCCCAAATTTTTTTTTGGGTTTTTTTTTCCCATTTTCCGGAAAAACCCCCCCTTTTCCCCCCCCCGGGGTTGAAAAAGGGGGGGGAAAAAATTTAAAACCAAAAAAAAAGGGGGGGGGGTTTTTTTTTTAAAAAACCCCCCAAAAAAAAAAAAATTTTTTGGGGGGAAAAAAAAAGGGGGGTTTTTTTTTTTTTTTTTTTAAAAAAACCCCCCCCCAAAATTATTTATTTCCCCTTTTTTTTAAAAACCCCCCCTTTAAAAAAAAAAATTTTTTTATTTTTTTTTTTGGGGGTTTTTTTTCCCCCAAAAAAAAATTTTATTTTTGGGAAAATTTTTTAAAAAAAAAAAAATTTTTTTAAAAATTTACCTTTTTTTTTCTTTTTAATTTAAAACCCTTTTTAAAAATTTTTTTTTTTTTCCCCCCCCCCAAAAAAAAAAAAAAAAAAAAACTTTTTTCCTGTTTGATTTTTTTTCCCTTTTTAAATTTTTTTTTTTAAAACCCCAAAAATTTTTAACCCCTTTTTTTTAAATTTTAAAAGGAAAATTTTTTTTAAAAAAAAAAAAATTTTTTTGAAATTTTTTTTTTTTAAAAACCCCCCAAAAAAAAAAAACCCCCTTTTTTGGAAATTTTTCCCCCCCCCCTTCCCTTAAATTATTTTTTTTTTTGAAAACCCCAAAATTTTCTTTTTAAATTCCAAAAAAAAAAATTTTTTTTTTGGGAAAAATTTTTTGGGGAACCCCCAATTTTTGATGATTTTTTTTCCCCCCCCAAAAAAATTTTTTTTTTTTAAAATTTTTTTTTAAACTTTTTTAAAATTTAAAAAAAAAAATTTTTTTTTTTTTTTTTTTACCCCCCCAAAAAAATTTTTTTTAAAATTTATTTTAAAAAAACCCGAAAAAAATTTTTTAAAAATTTTAAAAAAAAATTTTTTTAAAAAAAATTTTTTTTTAAAATTTTTTTTTTTAAAAAAAAAAAAAAAAATTCCCTGTTTTTTTTTTTTTTTAAAATTTCCCCTTTTTTTAATTTTTTCCCTTTTTTCCCCCCTTTAAAAAATTTTTATGAAAAAAAAAAAAGGGTAGGGTTTTCCCCCCTTTTTTCCCAAAAAAATTTTTTTTTAATTTTAAAAATTTTTTTTTTTTTTAAAAAAATTTTTCCTTTTTTTTTTTTTTCCCCCCCCCCTGTTTTAAAAAAAAAAAAATTTTTTCCCCCTTTTTTAAATTTTTTTGGGGGAAATTAAATTTTTTTTTTTTAAAAAACCCCATTTTTTTGGGATATTTTTAAATTTTTTTAAAAAAACCCCCAAAAAAACCCGGGGGGGGTTTTTTTTTTTTTTTTTTAAAAAATTTTCCAACCCCAAAAATTTTTAAAATTTTTTTTCCCCCCAACCAAAATTTTTTAAAAAAAATTTGGGGGGGAACTTTTAACCCCCAATTTTTTAAAAAAAAAAAAATTTTTGGGTTTTTTTTTAAGGGCCCCCCTCATCTTTTTTTTTTAAAAATTGGGATGGTTTTTTAAAATTTTTTAAAATTTTTCCCCAAAAAACCCCCAAAAATTTTTTTAATTTTTTACGCTAAAACCCTTTAAAAACCTTTTTTTTTTGGGGGGCCCCCTTTTTTTTTTTCCCCTTTAAAAAAAAAACCCCCCCCCGGGGGAAAAGGTTTTTTTTTTTAAATTTTTTTTTTTTTTAATTTTAACCCCTTTTTAAACCCCCCTTTAAATTTTTTTTTTTTTAAAAAACCCTTTGGGTTTTTGGGAAAAAAAAAAATTTTTTTTTTTTAAATTAACCCCTTTTTTTTTCCCCCAAAAAACCCTTTTTTAAAAAAAATTTTTTAAAAACCCCCCTTTTTTTTAAAAAGGTTTTTTCCCTTTTTCCCCCCTTTTTAAAAAAATTTTTTTTAAATTCCTTTTTATTCCTTAAAAAAAACCCCCCTTTTAAAACCCGGGGTTTCCTTTTCCCCCCCCAAAAAAAAAATTTTTTTTGGGGAATTTTTTTTTTATTTAAAATTTTTTTTTTTTTTTTTTTTGTGGTTTTTTTTCCCCCCAAAAAAAAAAAAAAAAAAAATTTTCCCCAAAAATTTTTTTTCCCTTTTTCCCCCCAAAATTTAAAATTTTCCTTTTTTTTTTTGGGGGAAAACCCCATAATTTTTTAAAAAAAATTTATTTTTTAAAAAAAAGGGTTTTTTGGAAATTTTTTTTAAATTTTTTTTTTTTTAAACAAATTTTTTTTTTTTTTTAAAAAAATTTTTTTTAAATAAATTTTTTTTTTTTTTTTAAACCCCCAAAAACCCGGTTTTTTTTTGGGTTTTTTTAAATTTTTTTTTTTTAAAATTTTCCAAAAAAAAAAACTTTTTTTATTTTTTTTTTTTTTTTTAAAATTTAAAAATTTTTTTTAAAAAAAAAAAAAAAAAAAAAAAATTTTTTTTTTCCCCAAAAGGGGGTTTAAAAAAAAAATTTTTTTTTTTTAAAAAATTTTTAAAAAATTTTTAAGTTGGGGAAGGGGTTTCCTTTTTTTAAAAGGGTTTTATTTTTTTAAAAAAATTTTTTTTTTTTTTTAAAATTTTTTTTTTCCCCTTAAAAAAGGGTTTAAAAAAATTTTTAAAAACCCCCCCAAAAAATTTTAAAAAAAAAAAAAAATTTTTTTTTGGGTTTTTTTTTTTTGGTTTTTTTTTAAAAATTTTTTTTTTGTAAAAAAATTTTTTTTTTGGGGGGTTTTTTGGGGGTTTTTTTTTTTTTTAAAAGGGGTTTTTTAAAAAATTTTTTTTAAAAAAAAAAGGGAAAAAGGGGGGGTTTTGGGGGGTTTTTTTTTTGGTTTTTCCGGGGGGTTTTGGTGTTTTTTTGGGGGGTTTTTTTGGGGGGGGTTTTTTTTTGGGGGGGGGGGGCCCCCCCTTTTTTTAAAAGGGTTTTTGGGTTTTAAAAAAAAAAAATTTTTTTTTTTTTTTTGGGGGGGTTTTTTTTTTTTTGGGGGGGGGGGCCCCGGGGGTTTTTTTCCCCCTTTTTTCCCCCCTTTTTTTTTAAACCCTTTCCCCAAAAAGGGGAAAAAAAATTTTTTTTTTGGGGGGGAATTTTTTTTCCCCAAAAAAATTTTTTTTGGAAGGGTTTTTTTTTTAAAAATTTTTTTTTTTTGGGGGTTTTAAAAAATTTTTTTTTTTTTTTTTTCCCCTTTTTTAAAAAAAATTTTTTTCCCTTTTTTTTTTTTTTTTTTTTTTCCCCCCTTCTTTTTGTTTTTTTTTTCCCCCCCCCCCCCGGGTTTTTTTTAAAAAAATTTTTTTTTCCCCCTTAAATCCTGTATGTAGTTACTTTCACTATACTAAACCCATCAACTATCCTGTATGATAGTTACATGGTACTGCTACACCCATCAACTATCCTGTATGATAGTTACATGGTACTGCTACACCCATCAACTATCCTGTATGATAGTTACATGGTACTGCTACACTCATCAACTATCCTGTATGATAGTTACATGGTACTGCTACACCCATCAACTATCCTGTATGATAGTTACATTGTACTGCTACATCCATCAACTACTTTATATGATAATTAAACAAAGCAAACAAAACAATATTGATTTCTTCAGTATACAGAATGTAGTTTAGATGTAATAAAATATTGTTAAGTACTAAAGAGAGCCGCTAGCATGGTGTAGTGTTTTTGTTGTAGTAAGTTTACCTTCGTTACACCAGTTTTACTTCTAACAATTTTCTTGTCTAATAAAATAGGTGTAAATTGTTTAGAATTACCCAGTAAAGTCAAATAAAGTGGTTTATTTCTTCTGGATAGTTTGCTCTGGGAGGTACGTGTAATATTCTTGTAGGTAAGCGTGTTGCTGTAGTGTGGTTGCTAGGTAAGTTGACCTGTATGATACTTGAGCCGCCACCGTCTAGACCACAGACCTGGGATGGTCTGTCTCGGTTACTTGTCTATGTGTGTGTGTGTGTGTGTGTGTGTGTGTGTGTGTGTGTGTGTGTGTGTGTGTGTGCTGGGGACGAGCTGCAGCTCTAGGGTTTCGTCTTGTACTCACAACTTTTTTAAGATCCTCTGCTCAAGATGTCTCACACAGCAGTTGCTAATTCCTGGGTATCTTATCACCCCCTTCCCCCTCTTTTATTAAGCACAGTGGAAATAAGTAACTTCGGCTTTTTGGGGGGATTATTCTAGGCAATTTATGTATGATAATTGTACTTATGTGTACCTGTGCCTAAATAAACTTACCTTTTCTTTACCTTCTCTCCCTTTTACTATGTATTTTCCCTCTCATTTTTGTGGTTGTTACATGTACACTTCCTGATGTTCGTTCTCTCCCTCCTTCCTCACCACGGGATATATGAATAATGAAGTCATCCGCTTAGTACCCTCCCTGGCGGCAGGTAACAGCCGGGGAGAGATGGACGGAGGGAAGGAAAGGTGGTAGGGAATCAAGGAAGAGATTGAGGGAGGTGGTAGTGAGGTAAGCTGGTTGAGGTTTTCAAGAAGGACGTCTGAGGATCATAACAAGATTATTTTGCCACGGATACTTCACTCCTTGGTTTAAAAAGACACGTCAGCAAACACCTGTCTTCAGGGTGTTCCGGGGATCAACGCCCCCGCTGCCAATTCCTTGACCAGGACATATTAGAAAACGTATGGGTCCTGGGACCTTGATCAAGACGTGATCAAGGTCCTAATAAACATGTCCTAGTGTTTGTTCACGTGTCTTTTTAAATCAATTTGTTGGTTTATAGGACCTCACTCCTTGCCAACTTGTCAGTCTTCAAGGCGGGTCCCTCTGTGCTGCTAAACGACTCTATATTCAAGGAATTTAATCTACGCCATGATCCTTTTCAAATCACTTGTTCTCTCTAGGCTGGAATACTGCTGTACATTAACATCTCCATTCAAAGCAGGTGAAATTGCAGATCTAGAGTGTACAGAGATCCTTTACTGCACGTATAAGTTCTGTCAAGCACCTTAACTACTGGGAACGCTTGGAAGCACTTGACTTGTACTCGTTGGAACGCAGGAGGGAGAGATATATCATAATCTACACTTGGAAAATCCTGGAAGGAATGGTCCCAAATCTGCACACAGAAATCACTCCCTACGAAAGTAAAAGTCTGGGCAGGCGATGCAAAATACCCCCAGTTAAAAGTAGAGGCGCCATTGGTACACTAAGAGAAAACACCATAAGTGTCCGGGGCCCAAGACTGTTCAACAGCCTCCCATCAAACATTAGGGGAATTACCAATAAACCCCTGGCTGCCTTCAAGAGAGAGCTGGACAGATACCTAAAGTCAGTGCCGGATCAGCCGGGCTGTGGCTCGTACGTTGGACTGCGTGCGGCCAGCAGTAACAGCCTAGTTGATCAGGCCCTGATCCACCGGGAGAGCCTGGTGATGGACCGGGCCGCGGGGGCGTTCATCCCAGGAATAATCTCCAGGTAACGCCATCCCCCTTTTAATTGACTCAAACCTGGCTACCTCTCATTCCTCACACACTGTATAACTCCTTACAAGTTATTGCATGCTAGATGTGTTTATAATCACTACATGATATATAAGTCCTCTTTTCTAGTTAGGAAATTACTTGTCAGAATCCCACCGACACTTTACTGTCAGTGTGGCTTCACCTCCAATATTGTCAGCAGGCAGCTAGTGGCGTCACCTTTCTCCTCTGTACAAGAGGGGAGTGAGAGGGTGGGAGAGGGGAGTGAGAGAGTGGGAGAGGGGAGTGAGAGAGTGGGAGAGGGGAGTGGGAGAGGGGAGTGGGAGAGGGGAGTGAGGAGAGGGGAAAGAGGGAGAGTGAGAGAGTGGGAGAAGGGGAGTGGAGAGTAAGGGGAGTGAGAGAGTGGGAGAGGGGAGTGAGAGAGTGGGAGAGGGGAGTGAGAGAGTGGGAGAGGGGAGTGAGAGAGTGGGAGAGGGGAGTGGGAGAGTGGGAGAGGGGAGTGAGAGAGTGGGAGAGGGGAGTGAGAGAGTGGGAGAGAGGGAGTGAGAGAGTGGGAGAGGGGAGTGAGAGAGTGGGAAAGGGGAGTGGGAGAGTGGGAGAGGGGAGTGGGAGAGGGGGATGAGAGCAAAGGGACGAATGAATCATTGTGTAGGATGATGCAAAAGACTGTCTAATTCCTAAACGGTTTCAATTAACAGGAGCCACAATGGAAGTAAGTCAGTTCTGACTTATTTTGGGGTTACCTTATTTAAATTCCACATGTGTTACTAAGTATGATAATTGCAATCACCTAAATTTGTATAACTGTACTCATGTATACCTGGAGAGAGTTTCAGGGGTCAACGCCCCCGAGGCCTCGTGGTGGATCAGGAACTCATCAATCAGGCTGTTACTGCTAGCAACACGCAAACCTATGTACGAACCACACCCTGGCTGGTCAGGTACTGTCTTTAGGTGCCTGTCCAGCGCCTTGAAGACAGCCAGGGGTCTGTTGGTAATCCCCCTTATGTATGCTGGGATGCAGTTGAACAGTCTTGGTCACCTGACACTTATTGTGTTGTTTCTTAGCGTACTCGTGGCGCCCCTGCTTTTCATTGGGGGAATGTTGCATCTCCTGCCGAATCTTTTGCTTTCGTAGGAAGTGATTTTCATGTGCAGATTTGGGTCTAGTTCCTCTAGGATTTTCCAAGTGTATATTATCACGTACCTGTCTCGCCTGCGTTCCAGGGAGTACAAATCAAGGGACCTTAACTGTTCACAGTAATTTAGGTGCTTTATCGTACTTATACGTGCCATGAAAGCTCTCTTCACTCTCTCTAGGTCTGCAGTTTCGCCTGCCTTGAAAGGGGCCGTTAGTGCACAGCAATATTCCAACCTAGAAAGAACAAGTGATTTGAAGAGAAACATCATGGGGTGGGCATCCCTAGTTTTGAAGGTTCTCATTAACCATCCTATCATCTTCCTAGCAACTGTAGTAGATACATTGTTGTGATCTTTGAAAGTGAGATCCTCTGACATTTGTTTTATACCCTGATTCAGTTTTGGTTTCCTCGAGTTTTTCTTATCGGAGTAATTGAAATTTCTCTTCACTGAATTTCAGATTTTTTTTATGCGGCCCATTTAAAGATTTGGTTGATGTCCGCCTGGAGACGCAGTGTCTTCGATGAATGACACTGTCATGCAAATTCGGGTGTCATTGGCAAAGGAAGACACGGTGCTGTGGCTTACATCTCTGTCTGTGTTAGATATGAAGATGAGGAACAGGGTGGGAGCGAGCACTGTGCCTTGTGGAAGATGAGGAACAGGGTGGGAGCGAGCACTGTGCCTTGTGGAAGATGAGGAACAGGGTGGGAGCGAGCACTGTGCCTTGTGGAAGATGAGGAACAGGGTGGGAGCGAGCACTGTGCCTTGTGGAAGATGAGGAACAGGGTGGGAGCGAGCACTGTGCCTTGGGGGAAGATGAGGAACAGGGTGGGAGCGAGCACTGTGCCCTGTGGAAGATGAGGAACAGGGTGGGAGCGAGCACTGTGCCCTGTGGAAGATGAGGAACAGGGTGGGAGCGAGCACTGTGCCTTGTGGAAGATGAGGAACAGGGTGGGAGCGAGCACTGTGCCTTGGAAGATGAGGAACAGGGTGGGAGCGAGCACTGTGCCTTGTGGAAGATGAGGAACAGGGTGGGAGCGAGCACTGTGCCTTGTGGAAGATGAGGAACAGGGTGGGAGCGAGCACTGTGCCTTGTGGAAGATGAGGAACAGGGTGGGAGCGAGCACTGTGCCTTGTGGAAGATGAGGAACAGGGTGGGAGGGGAGCATGTGCCTTGTGGAAGATGAGGAACAGGGTGGGAGCGAGCACTGTGCCTTGTGGAAGATGAGGAACAGGGTGGGAGCGAGCACTGTGCCTTGTGGAAGATGAGGAACAGGGTGGGAGCGAGCACAGGGTGCCTTGTGGAAGATGAGGAACAGGGTGGGAGCGAGCACTGTGCCTTGTGGAAGATGAGGAACAGGGTGGGAGCGAGCACTGTGCCTTGTGGAAGATGAGGAACATGGTGGGAGCGAGCACTGTGCCCTGTGGAAGACAACTTTTCACTGTAACCGCCTCTGACTTTACTCTTTTTACTAATACTCTTTGTGTTCTATTTGTTGGGAAGCTATAGATCCATCTACCAACTTTTCCCATTATTCCTTTATCAGGCATTTTGTGTGCTATTACACCATGATCGCATTTGTCGAAGGCTTTCGTTAAGTCATTCTGTTTGTGTTCCAGCGCGCTCAAGACTAGTCATAGTGGTTCAGTAGTTGGGACAGGCAGGAGTGATGTGATCTATACTCATGGTGCCCTGGGTTGTGTAACTGATGGGTATCTAAGTGGAGGGCGATCATGTTTCTTAGAACCCTTTCAAATATTTTTGTGATGTGGGACGTTAATGCTACAAGTCTGTAATTCTTTGCAATTACTTTACTGCCACCTTTGTGAAGTGGGACTGTCTTGTTTTTGGTGTGTGTGGGATGACCCCTGTGTCCATGCTCCCTCTCCATAGAATGCTAGAAGCATTCTATGAAGAATGCCTTTAGCATTCTGTAGTGTGTACTCTCCTTGCTGTGTGTGTGTGTGTGTGTGTGTGTGTGTGTGTGTGTGTGTGTGTGTGTGTGTGTGTGTGTGTGTGTGTGGGTGTGTGTGTGTGGTGTGTGTTGTGTGTGTGTGTGTGTGTGTGTGTGTGTGTGTGTGTGTGTGTTGGTGTGTGTTGTGTGTGGTGTGTGTGGTGTGTGTGGTGTGTGTGTGGTGTGTGTGTGGTGTGTGTGTGTGGTGTATGTGGTGTGTGGTGTGTGGTGTGTGTGTGTGTGTGTGTGTGTGTGTGTGTGTGTGTGTGTGTGTGTGTGTGTGTGTGTGTGTGGTGTGTGGTGTTGTGTGTGTGTGTGGTGTGTGTGTGTGTGTGTGTGTGTGTGGTGTGTGTGTGTGTGTGTGTGTGTGTGTGTGTGTGTGTGTGTGTGTTGTGGTGTGTGCAGTGTGTGCGTGTGTGTGTACTCACCTCACCTATTGTACTCACCTATTTGTGGTTGCAGGGGTCAGAGTCCTAGCTCCTGGCCCCGCCTCTTCACGGTTGCTACTAGACCCTCTCTCTCCCCGCTCCATGAGCTTTATCAAACCTCGTCTTAAAACTGTGTATGGTTTCCTGCCTCCACTACGTCATTTTCTAGGCTATTCCACTGCCTTACAACTCTATGACTGAAGAAATCTTCCTACTATCTCTCTGACTCATTTGTGTCTTCAACTTCCATTGTGGCCTCTTGTTTCTGTGTCCCCTCCCTGGAACATCCTGTCCTTGTCCACCTTGTCTATTCCACGCAGTATTTTATATGTCGTTATCATGTCTCCCCTGACCCTCCTGTCCTCCAGTGTCGTCAGGCCGATTTTCCCTTAATCTTTCTTCATAGGACATTCCCCTTAG